GCGGTATCATTATTACTCAGTGCTTAAAGTTAAGAGTCATTTTTAAATTCCTTTATTTCAGGATCTATACCTTGGAAGTTTATTATCATTTAAATATATTTTTTAATTAATTTTCTTAACTCTCTTTCTATTTTTATGACTTAAAATGACTATTTAACCTATTTAATATTTTGTTTGCATTCAACAACTCAAACATATTTAAAATAGAAACTGACAAGCCACTAATTAGTTTATAATACCATCAAACCCAAACACTCATTAGGCATCAAATTCTAACTACAGATGTGGGCAGACAAGGTTCTTTGGGTGAATCTGATATCTTTTATTACACCAACTTAAATAGTTGGAAAACAATTTTTAAGCAAGCTTTTCAAAAACCCTTCATCAGGCTAAGGAAGTTTCAGCAGTTGGTGTGTGCTCTTCCTGGATGGAATGAAAAGTAAAGAAGCCAGAGGCTGGGATGGTATGCATACAAGATAAGCAGTCAGTGAAGATGTAGATTGAGGAGTCTACATCTTCACTGACTGCCTATCTTGTATGCATACCATCCCAGCCTCTGGCTTCTTTACTTTTCATTCCATCCAGGAAGAGCACACACCAACTGCTGAAACTTCCTTAGCCTGATGAAGGGTTTTTGAAAAGCTTGCTTAAAAATTGTTTTCCAACTATTTAAGTTGGTCTAATAAAAGATATCAGATTCACCCAAAGAACCTTGTGTCTGCCTATGTGCTTAGACCAACACGGCTACAACCTACACCCCTGTAACTACAGATGTGTGCATTTCCAATTAGAGGTAATGGAATTTGCATGCATATCTTAAGAGAAGAATTTGGTCCAATATGTACAGGCTTAAAGTGAGAGCATCTCTCTACAGCTTTTGTCGGCAAAGCAAAGAAAGAACTAAAAGCCCAAGACTCTACAGACTTCAATGAGCCTTGTAGGTTTAGATATCATGGCACATATGAGGAAAAAGTACAGCCCCACAAGCCAACTTCATAGCACTTATGTGGCTATGAAACTCCTCTATTCTCAGGACTCCACACTGCCTCATACACAAGCATGGAATTGGGTACTGAGGAAATGAATCAGAGTCCATCTGTAGATCCATGCAAGAACATAGCCCTATGAGACTTCTTCACTGAAGTATTATGTATACCAGACAAAGGAATATGCGGCAAATGACTTCTCTTCATTTACATATATTCTAAAAGTATTGTACATCAATCCTCTGCCTTTATGTCACTGACCCAGCTCTGACTTCACACATTTTCTAGAAGTCAAAATAAACCGGTTATTAGTTAAATGATCATAACATCCAAATAAGCTTACTTAAATTTCATTGTACTAGCATGCCACTGCCAGAAACAGATTGTTCCATCAGCACCAGTAGAAGTGAGGTATCGTGTTGTTCCTTTTCTTGCTGGAGAAAACTAAAAATAAAAATCACAGCAGTTAAGACAGCTGCCTTCCTTGTTCTCTTACATCCAAGCCAGGGTGCACATAAATGGGATTAGCAAATAAAATCTTTTCAGGGAGAGTATGAACTCTCCCCTAACAAATTAAGAGACCAATATAATAAATCTCTACAGAAACTAAACTTCCATGACTATATAAGATGAAGTAGAAAATGTGCATGTGTGTTGCAAAATAAAGACACTCACTCTACGGCGCAGAAGGTAATTTCTTAATTTCTTACTGGAAGAATAGGACAGTAACCTAGGTCTTCTTTTTTTGTAACAAAAAGTGACAGAATATGCCTTCTTTCCAGGACCTGAGCACTACCTCTTAGGACAGCCCATTTCAAGCATGGAACCCCACCCAAACATGATACAAGCCAAGCCTCTGGTAGGAATCCCAGCGTCTTCCACTTCCCAGCACATATTTTTTGGCAGGAAGCAGAGAAGGTTTTTCAACAATGTTGCACAAAGGCCATGGACTCAACTTTGATTTCAGAGTCCAGACGAAGTTTAGTCCTTGAGCTACTAGGTATTTGTAAATGGCTTACTCTGTTTATCAATAATGACCATTGTTAACAACATAATTTCTAAAACACTTTGTGTACCCATTTTAGAAAAAGTTATTGCAACCTGTCAATTCAAATATGTAAAAGAATTACAAATCTTAAAAATTCATTAAAATCTTGGAGAGGAGAGCCAAATATTTTAAATCCACAATGTTAATTCAAAAGTAAAATAATGTCCTACAACATCAAATTCTTAAAAATCAGCTTGCATTAAATATAAATTCCAGTTTAGAACACTCATGTGAATGGAGCACATGAAAACAAGCCTAATTCAATGTTTACTATAAGATTATAACAGTGTAAAAATTATAGTTTCCATTTACATATCACCAATGTGAGACCCAGTTTGCTCTGGGCCTACATCTGTGTAAGGGAACTGTGTTTAAAAACAGTGCCTGCTACACAGGCCACGGGATGACAATAGCTTTCGGTTATTGTCAAGCTGGGGAAGATCTCCATGTGAACAACCTGCAAAAAATATCACTAAACCATTCTTCCTTCCTATTTTAAGAAGATACTTAAAATGTGAAGAAAAGATACTGTTACCTCTTACCTGTATGGAAGTAATGGAAGCTGAATGGCCCTGCAGAACGGCAACAGGTGCACAGGTTCGAAGACACCACACTCTGACTACCTTATCACAACTGCCTGCAGCAAGCAGCGTGTTTTCATAGTTAACAGCCATGTCAGAAATTTCAGCTGAGTGCCCTCGCAATGTTGAAAGCAGACGTCCATCATCCGTAGCCCAGATTTTCACCAAACAGTCATCTGAGCCCTAAGGATACACAAACAACTAAGGAGTAGGCAAAACATATCACATCTCCAAACATTTTAGATGAACAAATGCCCAAAACAAGGGTCACTGCAAAAAAGGTGGCTACAGTGGAATTCCACAGAAAGACACTCAGCATTTTGGATACCTTTGCAGAATCGGGGATTTAAACATTAGTTAAAATGGGAAACTGACTCTCAATGTTAATATGACCCCTCTACAATATTATTAATGTAGTAATAACATATCTGTTTGAAGATTAGAGATGATGAGCACTTCCAATTTTCACTGAATGCTCAGCTCTTCTGAACACAGAAAATACGATTTTTCAGCACACCTCTAAGCTAGAAACAAAGCTTTGTATCTTTCAGGGAACCTACTATTCCTTTCTAACCCCATCAAATCATAACAATAATAAAGTTTTATTAGAAAACTACACTTTTATTCAAAAAAGCATTTTGAAGGTTTCCATTTGTTTGTAAAAAGCTCTGAAAACAGCTCAATTATATTGAATATAATTATACTCATAGCACTAAAATTCACAGGTGAAATGATACAAAAGAGAGGCCTAGTTATATGGTTTTAAAACCTCGATAGAATAATACACTACAAAAGTTTTGATCATCACTTGTGTGGCAGGAGACAAAACATGCTTGGATGACAGGCCCATGGCAATCTCATCCAAAGCAAGTAACATATATGTATGTTCTCCTCCTTTTGTAAATGCAAACTTGAGAATACTTTCAAAACTTTGAAATAACAGCCCAAACGTAACCCTGACATAAGCAAATATGGTTCCATTAACATGAATGGCAAAATAGTTGCTTACAGTACACCAAGAATGAATTTGGTCTACTGTATAATATGATTATATTTCCTTTCTTTCTTAGTATGCAACAACCCAATGGAGCCCCATGTGAGGCCCTGGGAGATCTGTATAGTACACCTTATAGAATTAATGTTTATCTGTTTCACACTGCTAACTCCATTTTGAATGTAGGGCTGTGTTCCCTGGCGTGTCCTTGATGATGGACAGATAGTCTAAGGTAGGGATGGCCTACCTGCTGCATGGGTGCCATATGTAGCACAGACAGCCAATGTGCATGGTATATGGCAGACTGGGGAGGGGACAGACAGCAAAGTGGCAGACAGGGTAGGAAACAAAGCAAAGCAGCAACTCAGGTATGAAGCGCAGGGTGGGAATCAGAAAGTGGAGCAGCACATCAGGCAGGGGAAAGGCATCGGAGTGGTACTTGGGAAGGGTACAGGGCTAATTTATGGCACTGCTGTCAAAAAACGTTCATAGATTCATAGATTATAGAGTTGGAAGGGACCCAATGGATCATCGTGTCCGACCCCCTGCCCCGGCAGGAAAGAGGCCCGAGGTCAGACGACCCCAGCCAGGTGACTGTCAAGCCTCCTCTTGAAGACCTCCCAGTTAGGTGACAGCACCACCTCTCCTGGAAGCCCATTCCAGACTCTGGCCACCCTTATTGTAAAAAATTTCTTCCTAATGTCTAACCTAAATCTACTCTCCACTAGTTTGTACCCATTATTCCTAGTTACTCCCTGGGGCACTCTAGAAAATAGTGCATCCCCAATTCTCTGCTGTCCTCCCCTGATAAATTTATAGGCAGCCACAAGGTCACCCTTCAGCCGTCCTTTGTATAGGCTGAAGAGCTCCAGATCTCTCAACCTCTCCTCGTAGGGTCTTTCACAGAGACCACTAATCATGCAGGTGGCCCTCCTCTGAACCCTTTCCAGATCCTCCAAGTCCCTCTTGAAGTGCAGCACCCAAAACTGGACACAGTACTCCAACTACAGCCTGACTAGTGCTGCATAGAGGGGGAGCATCACCTCCCTCATTCTGTTAGTCATGCATCTGCTAATACACGACAAGGTGCGATTGGCTTTGTTGGTGGCCTCTCATTGCACTGCTGGCTCATGTTCATCTTGGAGTCAACTATGACTCCAAGATCTCTCTCAGCCTCTGAGCTGCTGAGGAGGACCTCCCCCAACCTATAGGTGTGCTGGGGATTCCTTTCCTAGGTGGAGTACATTTATCTTTGTTGAATTGCATCCTATTACGTTCCACCCATTGATCTAACCTGTCCAGGTCAGCCTGTAACCGCTCCCTGCCCTCTGGCGTATTAACTTTGCCCCATAATTTGGTATCATCTGCAAACTTGGAGGGTGATCAACACACCCTCATCCAAATCACTGATGAAGATATTAAATAATATCCCCCCAAGGACCGAACCCTGTGGGACCCCACTGCCCACCTCCTTCCAGGTTGAAAATGACCCATCAACCACCACTCTCTGGGTGCGGTCCCTAAGCCAGTTAGCCAGGTTGGCCCCCACTGTTCTAAGGGACAGGGCACAGGACTAACAATGGAGGGTCATTAAACCTTGAATGCCCTCTATTCAGAGGCATGCACGCTTGGACAAAATTTTGGGCACTCCACGGAAGAGCTATTCTGTTGCGGGGGATATTAACTAAGCAATGATCCCTTTCTGGGAGACAGATCTCCTGTCAAAAAGGATTGGAGATGATAAATAAAAGGGTTTATCACCAACTATTGGGAAGAACACTAGCTGCCAGAGAGAAACTCTATGTTTACAAGAAGACATAAGGAGGAAGGGGACTCATGGACACCCTAGAAGAATCTGTCAAACCCCCCAGATGCTTAGGGAGGCATGATTTTTTTTTTTGTCTAAAACTACATTTCTTGGGCTAATCAAAGAAAAATTATTTGCTTTTGGCTTGAAACAGTGAAATCGAAATGAAACAAAAAGCATTGAAACAGCTTTGAAATGAAATCAGGGCACTCGAAACGTTTCGAGTTTCAAAGCAGCCTGGTGGTAGGAGGCAAGGGAGAGCCAGGGCTACGCTCCGAGTGGCTCCACAGCCCGGTGAGGAGCACAGCCTCGGCTCTCCCTGCCTCCCACCACCAGTCTGTGCTCTGTGGGGCTGGCGGAGCCGATCAGAGTGCAGCACTGGCTCTGCCTGCCTCCTGCTGCTGGGCTGCACTCCATGAGGCTCCACCAGCCCCATGGACCACAGCCCGGTGGCGGAAGGCGGGCAGAGCTGGGGCTGTGCTCCACCTCCTGCCACCAGGCTGAGCTCCATGGAGCCTGGCACTGAGTGTCGGCTGTGCTCAGCACTGGTTCCAGGCAGCAGCAGCAGCCTCCTGTCATCCAGCGCAGATCTGGGGGCCCACACCGCCAGGAGGAGTCTGGCACTGCCTCACAGCCCTCCCAGGAGTGCAAGCCCCCAGATCTGCATGCCAGATGACAGGAGGCTGCTGCTGCCAGCAAGTGTCATGAATTTTGCTTTCAAGGCTCCGAGGTGCATTTTCTGAGAAACCTCTAAACCCATCTCCCTGAAACTTGGCAGGCTTCGCGCCCTCAGAAGGGGTTACAATCCCTACAATTTGCATCTGAATCAGGCAACAATCAACAACGTTTTGGGCATTTTCATGATTCCCCATTATAGCCCATGGGCAAAACATCGAAACAAGTCAAAACAGCGAAACAGTTTCGAAGAAATGAAACAGGACAGTGCTTCAAATCGAAACAAAACACTGTCCCTTTGAAACGGTGGTCAAAATGAAACGATGGTGTTTCACACAGCCCTAATGTATAGACACCAAGATGTTATTGCAGAGCTAATTAGTCAGCAGTAAACATCTCATGTAGACATGGACAATATTCAAGCAGAAAAACCCCTAGCATAGGAATTTTTTTTTGCTGGATCTATGCTTGATCCAGGTCTGACCCTCTGACTCCTCAGTTCTGCTCAGAATTTGATATTACACTTTAAAAAGTGTAAAGCAATATGCTGGTATAATTGAATATAGTGTGAAATGTAATTTGGTTTTATACGTAATTTCACTAACTGAATAAAAGTTCAAACATAAAGCAGTCCTGCTTGTAACTGTAGCTGGGAAGGCAGACAGAGAAAAGAAAGGAGACTTCAACAAAAGAAAAGGGTGTAGAATGATCCATATATTTTTCTGTAAAGGTGAAAAAAGCTGCTTTTGAATACTGAAGTATGGTAAAAAGTTAATAGCGCACATTTACAACTTTGAGATGCACGATGAATTAACAAATACTGTGGATTCACAAATTAATATATACAATGTACAGAAGGGAAAAATTATCAAAATTACCTTTTTCCACTTATTTTGACTCTTTTAGTTTAATTATACACTATTTTGTACTTCACAATACAAATCTAGTAGAGTACATTTTGCAGAAGTCACACAGCTTTAATAATCTGTAATAAGAAATCTCACTATAACGTCTGCTAGAAAGTTTTTACTGAAATATAAGGAAGACTACCAGCACTGTGAAACATGCAGTTTAAAAAATATACAAATTAAAGGAAGTAGGAGGTTCCTCTGGACAGGAACATTATATGGTTTAAACACACCAGGTTCAAAATTAAAATTTTTAAACTCACTGTGAAAATACGTCTTCCACTGCGATCAAATGCTATACAATACACAGATGATAAGTGCCCCAGAATCCTCTTGTGCATCTTCATGTATTGATAGGTGGATGATGGGAACAAATGGCTGAAGCGTCCATATCCAGTTAGTTGCCTGGCAGAAATTATATTTACTGGGAGGGAGCGGGGAGGGAGGCAGAACGAAAAATAAATAAATATATATAAATATATAAAAATCTCTTTAGATTGATTGGCTTAGACTTCCAGGTAATTTAGGGTGAATCAAACAACACAGCTTTATATTTACTTATTTGTTTGTTTATGTATTTACATCCCGCCCTATCTCAAAGACTCAGAGCAGCTTACAATAAGCAAATCACCCATGGACAAGGCTCCCCAAACAATTCCCCAAAATCTGAGAACTTCAGCTCTTACCCCAACCAACCACCTCATTGCCCAAAACCCTACACGCGCAAACCTTCCCATGAACTACACGAGCAAACCTTCCCATGAATCCCAACCATGCCTTCTAACCTCCTGGACTTGGCATCCATACATCATATTGATAGTGGTCCCCATGGACTAGGACAATATAATATTAATAGCAGCTTGCACTGGCAAGACGTAAAGCAAAAGAATAAAAATAAAATCAGGGTTTTTACTCAGATCTCAGAGAGAAAAAAAAGAAAAAGCTACCACTTATGGCTCCAATCATTTCCAATTTTTATATTTAGCCACCCTTCTTAGAAAGAGTTAGCCATTTTGCTAGACAAGGAAAAAAAATAAAATAATCCTTTACAAATAAAGAAGAACAGGAATGTGAACAAAATTCCAAGCCAGACAAAATGGAAGCAAAAAATTGAAAATTCTTAGTTTTATCATTGACATCAGAAGGGGGCGGGGCGCTAAGGTATGCAGTTGACAGCCCAGAGGTTGTAAGTTCAAAGCCATGCAGAAACTCTCAAAGTGCAGCCCTGTCAGATTCCAACGAACCTGCAAATTCTGCTAAACCCCTTATCCAACGAACCTGCAAATTCTGCTAAACCCCTTATCACAAGGACATGGAAAAGGAAGGACTAACATATGAAGAATGAGAAACATACAATGGGGAAAATAAAGTAATTGACAAGTCAAATGAATTAATGAAAAGAGAGGACTAACTCCACAGCTAAAAATACAGCAACAAAATTTCTAAATCCATAATTTTTCTTAAGCAAGTCAAAAATTGTGGAAGACCAGCAAAACATCAGAAGGTACTCTAACATATATGCTGACAGGAGCATTTAAAATGCAACTCCTGCACATTTTAGGAAACTAACACTTTGAAGAATGTTTCTAGTGTCCTGATATGCAGAGAGACTCTCTGAAAACTAAAACAAAAGGCCGTATTTGCAGGTTTTAAAATGATCAAGATACAGTAATTAAATGCAAATACAAAAACAGTAGCAACATGTAATTTTAAAGTATTTTATATACCTGCCAATATTTTAAATCTTTATTGCGTGCACATTAGTCACACATATTGGTCGGCCTGAGGAAAATGTAACAATTTATCAGTCAAAACTCCCTTTTCCTACTGAAAATATATTTTCAACAACATTAATCTCAAAACACCAAAAGAATCCAATATTATGCCAGGTGGCTAAATTAACTAATTGATATTTTTCATTCAATAGTACCTGTGAAAATTGAATTAATTATTGAGACAGAATCTCTATACACTACTATAACTGGAAAAGAAAACAAGTGGATAAAAGCTTAATTTTTACTTTTATCTATCTCACGAGGGGTTATATATACATTGCAAAAGGTTGCCTGTATCCAGTTCTTGTACTGGATTAACTGTACCAGCTAACTACAGACATAGTTAAAACGGGGGCGGGGTGTTCCCCCAGTGAGCACACTGGGAACCCCTCTGCGCTCCCGTGGGACACACCATCCGCCCCACTATCTCAGCATTCATGAGATGCCTGGCACCTTGAGGTATGTAGAAAAAACAAAGCTGTGTCTATGTCTGAATCATCAAATCTCTTCAAATCGATTCAGAGAGTTCCAATTAAATTCTGAGAGATTAAAGGGTCTCCCGATTCTATTCGTATTTGAAGATTCGTCTGTCGAATCAGTCTGAGTCTCCACCGAATCGAATCAGCGACTGAAATTTCATGCAGCCCTAACAATGATGCCAGTTTCAAGATGCAGACAATTAGTCACGTGACTATTCTATTTGCTCATCAGTGCTTGGGTTTAATGAAGTGTGACAATAAGATATTTGCTTTTTAAGTTTCAAAATTTGGTAAATAAACTTTTAAAAAATTAACAATAGAACACATCAGGAAGGAACACATACATGCCAAGTTATGCTCAATAAACACAACCCTTTCACTGTACTGCAACTTTTACAACAGATTTTCAAAGAGTGTTAATCATTTCTGTCTTTCTAATTCTACCTATTTACCTTTTCACTGACATCCTGCCACAGAACAGCAGACTCCCCATGCCTGAAGAAAGGTGACTGGACCTGAAATCTTGCCAAGAAAATTTTTTCCAGCTACTCAGCTGGTCTAATAAAAGATATCACATCTAGTCAAAGAACCTTGCCAGTCTTTTTTAAAATATCCCTGAAACCATATTTTGTATTTAAAAAATAGTATGTGATCTATTTTCTTATGTTAAAGTATTTCAAAACACCCAAGTAATTTAGCAGTATTATGATATGGGGCATGCAAACAAGCTGCCATAAAGTTAAAAAAAAAAAAAAAGGGGGGGGGGGGGGGGGGGAGGAGGAAGGGAGATTAATCATATCTTTGCTACTCCACAGTAACTACCAATGTATACATTCTTACCTCATAACAAATGAAAGCTACTGACCAGCAACTTGCCCATCAAGGAGAACTAAGCTATTGTAGGTGAGTTTCCATTTACCATGGAGTAAGAATGTATGTGCAGATAGTTACTGCAGAGCAGCTGAAGCACGGTTTATCCTAAATTTGTGGCAGACATGAGTAAGCTAAATCATTTGGGTGCTTTTGAAAATTTTCTCATCTTTTGATACAAACAAGGCGGAACTTTTCAAAGCCACTAATAGATGTTAAGTGTTACATTTCAGATGAAAGTGAATGGCAGTTAGGCATCACTTCCCCCTTTAATCCACTAATTTATAACACTGATTACCAGTTGTGCAACTGATTCACCCCTTAATACAATATAAAACATCTTTTAACTTTTCTCTGCTTCTCTTTCCCCATCTCAAAATGGAAATAATATTTCTGTACCTTAGATGAGAAATTAAGAACAACTTGCACTAAAGTCAGTACAATGCTTGAACAACAACTACCATAGAAATATTGACATATTATTTGCCATTAAAATGGTACTGGCTTCACCACAGCAATGGCATCTCTGAACAAAAATGTGAATCATTCAATGCACAGGATTCCCATAAAAAAAACAAAACCTCACAGACATGAACATGCAAACATACTACACAAAAGTGGGATGCAATTTATTTTCCATGTATCTACGTTTTACTGATTTACTACTACCAGACAAGAAATAGCAAATAAATGAAAACATGTAATTCCAGTTCCCACATCTTTCAGTAGAAAATCTCTAAAGTAATCTCTAAACAGGGAATTACATATACACATGCACACGGTAAAATGTCTTTCTGAAATCTGGTTCCTTTAGTACAATAATGTTATTGTGTTCAGTGCTTAAAGTGATTCTCACGTAAAGAACTCTAACTAACTCTTAGAGATATTATTTACGTATCTAATTTGCTGCTCGACTTCATACTTGGGCATAAAAGCTGCCAACTCTGCCGTGACCACTAGTTTTTACTAAAAGGATCTTTTAAATTGAAGATTTATACAATGGGAGAAAATAAGCATGCATCTAGTCTTCCTTTTTTTAAAAAAAGGGAATTATTCTGTTAAATTATAGAAGAGCTTTCTTTGGTAGGAAAGTCTAAATGTCTAATTACCTAAATGCTTCATCACTTAGACATATAGGTGCCAGTGAAACTTGCTGCTATTTCTAACTTTTACTGGTCGCAATATTCATTTACACTTCAGTTCTCACATTCCCCCAAATTCTAGCAGCTTTATGCCACACTTAACCAGAGTTATTCTCCCTTCAGGAAGGGAACTTTCTGATGTCATGTTAGAACGCAGCTTCCCTTTTGTGTGAGGACTACAGATCTATTGAGAATCTATACTCCACCTCCACAGATTTTAGGACATTCTAAGGAAGAGCCACTCTATCCGTTTTACATCCTGGCAAATCCACTCCAAGCAACACAGCCAGCTCTGTTTGTATTGCCAATGAATCCTGTGGGCATCTGCAGATCATTAACCCTTCCTTGGTTTACCCAAAAAGCAGGATTATAATCTGCATATAAAATATAAGAGAATGCTATAGAAGAGCTGCTTCTTCTCAACAACTAACTCCAGTTCCCTCACACCCTAGGTACATGCACTTTTATATTACTCCATTTGCCAGAAAAATAAATGTACGTGTGATATATATATATATATATATATATATCTTTTTTTTTTTTAAATCAGACTCCAAGTTACTGGAATCAGTAAACATAAAAATCACTATAAGGATATTAGCATTTAAAACATACCACACACACCATTAAAAAGTAGAACAATGCAAGAATCACACACAGACACCAGGAAATCCAATGTTAAGAGTTACATCCTAAAAAGGAACCAAAAAGGACCCAATGCATTTCAGTCTTGAAATTCAGAGTTGCTCAGCTGCATAAGTGCACAAGGTAGTTTAACTCAGCCACTGCAGAGTTGCCAACCTTCCATTTTCCATTCCTTAGGATTGAAGAATCGGGAGTCACAGAAAGCTGATAATAACTTGTTCCTCATACAGTATTTCTAGTCCTAGTGTGAGACCAAACTAAATCCTTCTAATTTAAACACTGTATTGTTATAATCTGAACACATAATATTTTACAAAGATGAGACACTTGAGCCATTTACAAATGCACCCTGAAAGGTGTACAGCATCTTCCACACATCACAGGATTGGGCTCTGAATGATGAGTGGGAAATAATCACCTTCAGCACAGTTTTGGTGCAAATATGAGAGAAATACAATCCCTACAGCTGATAATATCCCCAGGAACATCAACCTCCTGCCAGCAGGAAATCTCTAACTGTGTACATATGCTACGGTGAAGAAAAGAAGCTACAGGTCTCTATAGCCAATAAGATAACTATGGACAGTCTCACCCACACAGCAATAGTAGTAGGTATGGTAGTAGCACTGGTATCATTTATATCAATAGTGATTGTTGAGGCAAAACCATGCAAAACACTGTAACCCTACTCATTCTTCCCCTTGCTTATTATTTTTATTTCCATGTGCACTTAATGACTTGCATGTACAACTGCAATATTTGTAGGGAAGGGCAGCATACAAATCAACAGTTTCACAAGCAAGCTAGAACACCTAACTGTGTCCTAAATTATTTAAAAGCTGGCACTTAAACAAACACTATAATGTAGCATGACTACTTTTGCATGCAAGTGCATTAGGACACGTCAGAGGTCTTTCAAACTGCCTAATCCAGCACTACAGGAGTTTACATTGAGAAAGTTCTCTCTGGTGAGAAATTTGGGGATGAGGAGGTTTACTTGTTTGTTTTGGTAATTTTCTAAGATGAAATCTGTACCATAGGGCATCTCTATCATACTGGCATTTCTGATTTGGATAGTTAACAGTTGCTTGTCCACTAGAATTTAAGCTGTTCTATAAAACACGTTAAAGAATACCGATACTATCTTTCGTCTTTTTAAGCAGCAAGATTTTTCACTACTTACTATCAAGTAATATACTTTTGCATAATAAGGGCATTCATGAAGAACAATATGCTTGCATGGCACATTACAAACACATGCCAAAACATTCTTTTCACTATATCCAACATAACCTTACATTAAATAAATGCATCACACAAGACAACACATACACAGAAAAAGGCTTGGAAGAAGTGTTCAGGAATAGAAGCAGTTACAAAAGTTAACAATATAATCTATAATGAACATATAGCTCAATTATAACCAAGTTTTAATATTTTAGTATTTTTTTTACATACACTGTGTTTATCATTATTCACACAAGCAGAAAGGATAACAGACCCTATAAACTATAACCATATATATCAATATTTATAAAATAAGATTACTTGAAAACACACACAACTGGTGGTGATGTCATAAGAATACCTCCTGGGCAAGGGAAACCTCCAAATAACAAAAAAATTAAATCATTCTTTCTACCCCTTAAACTTATATTTCACAATTAAAGTATCACAAAGGTAAAATATGTACCTTCAGCATATACCAATGAAGGAACAACTCAAAAGAATGTTCTGCTCATTATGATTAAGTCATGATTATACACATTTCTCAAGACATTCAGATGCCTGAATTATCTTTAAAGGATGTGACCCAGAGCCTTTACTTTATTTCAAGTCATTGAGTCGTGTAGGCAATAATCATAAAAGCCAGGCTCTTTAACAGTCCATCCACCTAGTCAAAAAAGGCATAAATCTGTAACGCAAAAGCTATTTGACAAAAGACAAAGTTCACTAACGCAGTATTTTTGCATGTTTTACAGAGAGCTGCACAGAAATACTGCAATCTGTTTCCATTTCACATATATTTTAAAAAGCACCCTGCCCCCCACTCCTCCCCCATACACGCATTCATTACATTTGTTATTCTGTCACTTGTACCAGTGACACACCTTGCCCAGAAAATTATACTGACTGGTTTGAAATTGCGATTGAAACCCAATGTGTTAGGTCGGTCTGTTTCTTACCAAGACTGATCTTTGAGAATTAAAGAGCAGAGAGACCAGAAATGTAAAAAACATAAATCATCTTCACCACCACCAACACAGAATACTTGAAGAAAAATTTTAAAATATCCCTGGATACTATCACCATGAGTACTAGCTGTGGGGAGAAAGGAGAGAAGAATCCACTCAAGGTGGTAAAGGGCAAACAATTCCCAGAAAAGCTAAGGCAGAGATTGCAGGAGTGAGGAGAGAGACAAAAAACCCTCCAGTGAAATTAAACAGATATCTTTTATTAATTTAAAATACCTAACTGGACTAAATAACTGGATGTGATCAAAAAGACTTTCCTGTTACATTTTTAAACTTGTTTCATTTAAAGAAGGATGTAAGTGAAGAAGTCTACAAACAAAAATGACTATGCACTCAACACCAGATTAAAAATAAAATATACACCATAAATAGGGTGCATTAATGTAATTGTGTAACTAGGATCTCAGGAATTTTATGCCTGATTACAAAAAACGTGTTCCCTGCCATGCCACTACACAATTTGTAGTATGGGGCATAAAATTCCCCAGATCCCAATCATGCCACTGGGGATCGGGGAGCTCCCTGATCCCCAGCTGCTGCGCCCCAGATTTTAATGGCGCACACAGCTGGGAAAGTCTGCAATACTCTTTCAAGTCCGTGTCCCTAGGTAGACAATTATTTTGGCTTTTTTTTTTTTTTGCTTTTGCTTTTAAACACTTTAGAAAGGTATTTATGCTAAGCCAGAAAAAGAACCCTTTCTCCCACCACTATGCACCCTGATATAACTAAGGCTAAGTAAAAACAGTCAAAAAGCCTGAGGGGAAATCAATCCAGTCACTCTAAGCAGGTTTCTCTAAGATGTGTAGACTGGACTGTTAACAAATGGAACTCATGTTCATTCCTCAGTTGGGGAAGACAAGCAGATGCCTGCACTGGTTGAGGCCAGAAAGCAGGGGTGCTCTTGCACACCTCCTAGCATGCCAGACGTTACTGAAAGCACTCAAGTAGAGCCAAGCAGGTGCCATCTCTCCTTGGCTGCCCAGCACATGACCCCAACCGTGGGAGACCCCACTACAAGGTTTCCTTGACTCTACCCAGCCTGGCCGGGTAAACACCCCTGCCCCCTGCAAATCTGTCTCTGACCTGTGGGGGGGAAAGCCCTCCACCCCAATATCAGCTCCCCCAAACTGGGGTCTGCCCCAGTTTGGGGGTGGGCACACTGTGGGGGGCAGGTTTCCTTCATCCCTGCCCAGCTAGACCGGCTTCATAAAAGGAAGGATCAGGCCCCAACACCCTGTACAAGCCCCTGGGGCTGTCCGGAGCATCTTGCTGGCTACTGCTGGTGCCAGGGGGGCCAAGATGGGGGTGGTGGCTTAGCTCCCCACTACAAGTCAGAGGCAGAGACTCATAGGGCGTGTCCACATGTGGTGTGGATGTTTGGTTCCCAGGGGAGAACAAGCAGCGCCACCACTAGCTGTCCCCACGGAAGTGTGAAGCAAGTTACCTCGGGTGGGGTAGGGGAGCCTGGGGCCAGCACTGGGCTGGCTCCAGCAACCTGACCTGGTGTCCTGGGGGCCTCCTGGGGCTGCAGCAGAAGCAGCAATTCTGCCGTGTGAAGTCTGGCTGGCAGCCGCAATGTGACTCCGGGCAGCTCGGCTTCACTTCTATCTGGTGCGCACTGCTCCCACGTGCGCTGCTCTCCTTTTTTTCTCTGCAGTTTTTTTTGACCCCTGGATATCCACGGGTCAAAGAAACCCTCCACGGTGTTCCATTGCAGCATGGAGAACAACTGAACGTGCGGCAGGCGCGGCACATACCGCACAGACACGCTCATCTAGATGTGGCCATAGAGGGCAAGGCTGTGCAGCCAACTCTGCCCAGTATGAATGGGAAATCCCCCAGCAGCAAGGGCTACCCCAGCTGGGCAGGTGCCTGCTTTGTGGGGGGAGGGAGAGGGCTGAGATGGAGGCAAGGGAAACCACCCCTTCTGTGACATGGGGCTCCCCCTAGCTAGGCAAACCCCAGCTTGGAGAGAACCCAGGGCTAGGACAGGGGGCTTCATTCCCCTGCCTCCCCCCTGCTGCCCCACCTGACTGACAGGTGCAGGAAGGATGCAGGGCTGGGGATCAGAGGCTTTGCTGGCTCAGCTCTGTAACAGCCCAGGAGTGCAGAGGTGTACTAGCAGAGGCACGCCCACCTGCCCTGCAAGGAGGGGTTAAGCAAGGGGGGCACAAAGCACCTTGGGATGCTGGGGGACTGTGACCTAACTTGAGTCAGGAGGGGATCTGGAACAGAAGTTCGATAGACTAGTCTAACCTAAACTGATTAAAATTGGTACTAGATCCATCCGGGTCTATCTTAAACCAGGTTCTGCCATTTTGAAACCAGTTTATGTGCACTAAACTTCTGTTCTGTTATAGTTTTAGGCTGGTTTTCGATCACTTATACCGGTTTACGTGTAATTTCTGACCTGAGCCCAAGTCTATAACTCGCTAAACTTTCTCATACAGACAACGGTTTAGATAGACTTATGCCTGAACATCTAAATAGAAGTTACCAGTTGGCACTGTTATATGCAAGTCTTAAAAGGTCTTCTCTTCAATGTTTAGTCTGAAAAAGAGCTCATGTTACTAGTTTTGCAATGGTGTTTCATTCTGGGCAAGTTCTATTTCAAACATTTTGTTTGCTTTCTTAATCTCTTTCTTAGTGCGGTCAACTCTCGAGGCAGAAAAATTCTATGGAAATGAAGAACTGGTGTTCTGACTAAGATTTCTAAAAGAAGGGACTGTCTGCATTGATCTCTATTCAAGGACAGGTGTATTTAGCGTGAAACAACTTAAAATACAAAATATTCACTGTTACATGGTTGCTTTCTCAACTGATAGGAAGATGACACACCAGACTTCAACACCTGTTACTGTTTAGCAAGAGTACAACAATAACTTGTGTGTCTGCACACACACACACGCATGCACACACGCAAGGATTTAAAATGAGAGCAAATCAAAAAGGTCTGCGGTAGGAAAAAAGCCTGAATAATGTAAAAAAGACTAATCTGTTTTTAATGTAAAGCTTTGGAGAGAAGTTTATCTTGAAAGTCACCAAAAATACATACGAAGTCCAACACAGTGTCTTGGTTAATAAAGTTTCAACTGAAAATAAATATAAAGGTATGGAAATGGCAGGTATAACTTATTTACATTTGAATTGGATATTACTTACCCACATTTGGTGGCTTCCCATAATTGACAGGTAGTTCGGGAGGCCTGCCTCTGTGAAGAGCTGCAAATGCAGATCCCTTCCATAGCGTATGCCTGAAGTCTAGATGAGCAAGATTAACAGCTGGTCAACAAAATGATCTGCAAAGCTGAGTTCTGCACTCAAATGACCTGTTTTTGCTAGAAATGACAATACCAAAAGATCCAACGCTCTGACATCCTAGAGTGCCTTGCTTAGCCTCAGAATGACAGTTCTCATAGAAAAACTCAGTCATTTTAAAGGCAAATTCCTTCTATTCAAAAGAAAGATGAATCTCTGATCTTAAGATATTACTGGACATGAAATCTGACATTTCCAAATTCTCTTTATTCACTTGGCTTCTTGGTTTTAGGAAGTCTAAATCTGATGCGGGAGAAGAGGTGGTGGTAATCACATTGGCTAAAAAAAAAAATCATATGAAGTACAAAGTACCAATCTTGACTTGTCATCTCAATTTATATAAAGTGTACCGTACATTTGGGAACCATATATACGCAAGCATCCTTTGAGATGTGGGTGGGGGAGAAAAGATGGGCAGAGGTCTGTTTTAGTAAATCTGGTTTCCAGCAATTGATGGCAGTATGCCCCTCTCTCCACATTCTCTCTCTTTCTCTCTCTATATATTTTTGACATTGTTTTTCAAATTAAAGCTATTTTATTTAAAGGCTCTCCAGCTATCTTGCTGCCAACTGGACTCAGCTCAACAGAGTGTCTCAAAAATCAGACCTTGACATTTTCCATTTGTGAATATCTGGAAGGAAAAAAGTGAGTTTCTATGCTAAAGAGAAGCTGTGCAGTAGAAGGTTACTGCCACTGACTGGTGCATAACAATTTAAATCTCTGAACACAGCACCTTCTGAACATGGTCATCTGATTTCCAACCCAGGCAGTTCCTTATTTCCAGCCAGCCATCGGGCTGTCTGGAGCAATCCTCAGCAATCCCCAAAATCAAGCTGAGAGCAGCTTCAAGTCCTAAAATGGGACTGGCCTATGCCCAATCTTAACACTCAGCTGAGTATCAGGATCAGGCATGAGGCAGCTCCAGGGTCCAAAACAGATCTAGGGGTAGCTCTGCAGTGACACAACTGGAATCTGAAGAATTTTATATACCATCCCACAATTTATGCATCCTGCAAAGCACACCTGGCATGACAGGAAACAGGATGTTTCAGATGCCTCATAAAATTCCTCAGATCCCAAAGGCACCATTATTTTAACATCTGCCAGGGGCCTCAAGGACAAAGCCTCAATGAATATTTGTTATTTACAAACCAAATTCCATTTAGGTTTTTCTTACCAGAATTATATGTAAAAGAACTGGCTTAATTTTTCCAGAAAACAAAGGTACAGAAGTCTCCAATTGCTTTCAATATTAATACTAAAATGCAGCATTAAAAAAAATCTGAAACTATAACTTTGGGAAAGGTGACCTACTTAGAATGAAGACACCTGTTACACTCTCAAGCAGTATACGGTCAATATACTTTCTCTATATATAAAAAAAAAATCACATACCTGGAAGAAATGTCTGCCTGATAAAAGAAAGTCATTATTTTACTCTACAAGTTCCACAACTTTAACTGACCCCTTTGACTGTTGTCCTTCAATCTGTCCATTTAGCCATACTAACATTACGAACCCCCATCCAATTTCAAATAATCCTGTTTTTCTTTGGGTGTCCCCCTCAATAAGATGACATATTTCTCTGGCACGTTGGCATCTTCTTATAGAGAGTTTAGAACTTTACCCAGTCACACCAGTATGCAGCCAAGCCAGCCAAGGCTTGGCCATGGGCTCGCAAAACTTTTTCTATATTTACAAAGGAGGCGGCTTTAAAAAGTGATATCCTATCACTTAGCAGGGCATTATCCCATGCAATTAGGAGATTCTCAGATTTCCAATAGGGCCCAGCACTCCTTTCTGCTCATGAAAAAAAACTAAAAAAAGGCATTTTCAAGTTTTAACACTATTACACATAGAAAGGCTATTCCAGATTATTTTAGACATGTCACATTTATTCATTATCCCAACACTTCTGTGTGCTGCAGTTAGAGTCATAGTAACAAGAGTACCTAGTTTCACTAGCAGAGTGTGTGTGCGTGCGTGTGTACAAGAACATGCACACACATGCTCAGAGAGAGACCTAGACAAATTGGAGGATTGGACTAAAAGGTCTCTCATGAGGTTCAATAAGGAGAAGCACAAATTCCTGCACTTAGGATGGGGCAATCCCATGCACTGGTAGAGGCTGGGGACTGACTGGATAAGCAGCAGCTCTGCAGGAAAGGACCTCAGGGGTGGACAATAAGCTGAATATGAGCTGACAGTGTGCCCTTGTTGCCAAGAAAGCTGACAGCATATAGGGCTGTATTAGTAGGAATGTTGCCAGCAGATCGAGGGAAATGATAATTCCTCTCTATTTGGCACTAGTGAGGCTGCATCTGGAGTACTGTGTCCAGTTTTGGGGGCCCCACTACAGAAAGGATGTAGACAAATTGGAGAGAGTCCAGTGGAGGGCAACAAAAATGGTGAGGGGGCTGAGGCACATGACTTCTGAGGAGAGGCTGAGAGAACCGAGCTTATTTATTCTGGAAAAGAGAAGACTGAGGGGGGATTTAATAGCAGCCTTCAACTAACTGAAAGGTGGTTCCAAAGAGGATGGAGCTAAACTGTTCTCAGAGGTGGAAGATGACAGAACAGAGAGTAATGGTCTCAAGTGGGTATATCAAAATGAAAACCTCCACATAACATCACCTACATAATGGTATAATAAGCTACAACCCCTTAAACTCTAAAGTAACTGGACCATGGGAAGGGTATTATCTGTGAAGGTCCTGCAGTTTGGGAATTTGCTCCTAGTTGATCTGCTAATCTTTAGGCCATTTGGGGATAGCTCCTCCTCTAAATGAGATTTAAAAGGACTGGTAGAAAGAAGAAAGGTTGGTAGCAAGGGAAAACAGAGTATTTTAACTGGTTATATCTGGTATATTTTCAGCTTCTGAATGCATGTCTTTTTTCAAAAAAATACTGAAGTTGCCTAGATCCTTGAACAGGATGCTATTGAAGGATTCTAAATAAAATGAGAAATAAAGCTATCTAACATACTGCAGGCAGCACCTGAAGATCACCCATTTCTCAGACTTAAAATTGTCAGAAGGATTACAAACAAAGCAAAGTCCCTTATACCCATTAGTTGGGGACAAGCCCATACCACTTTTCTGTACCCCTTACCCATTTAGAACATAATTATACTAGAAACAGTTACTGGTATAGTTGTATCTCTCACTGGAAGTACTTCCATTGCAACTTTTGTATAGCAGTATATATGTAGTTACACTGGCATGAAAGTGCCAATATAAGCTATCCTGGCAGATGAAGCTGCCAATAAAATACATGTATCTATGCTTGGACCTTAGCATAGCAATACCAGCAAACCTTTTCTAGCACAAATCCAATCCAGAAGAAGCTACCCTGTCTCAGTGACTGAGCAAGTCTGTTATTAGAAAGCAGAGAGTGGTAACTAACCTGAACAGTGTCCACACTTGAGGCATGTCTAGCATCAAACCAGCAAATATAAAAGATACTTTGCAATCATTTTTGTTGTTGCTGTTGATTTATGTAACTTAGCTGTGGCTATATGGAACTGAAATCTTACCTTTTGCTGCCCTTAGCAAAGACTGCCGTCCCACACCTAGTAAAGTCTGCACTCCAAGAACACTCTGTGGGATTTCCTTGTCTAAAAGGGGTCCAAGTCTCTCACAGATTCTAAGAAGATAATCCGGAGGGATGTGTGCATTGACTGCCACCTAAACATAGGAAGTACACACACATTTTTATTTCTTCCAATTTTTTCTCTCTCTCAATTTCCAAACTATTTCTTTCATTGTTTTGTGGTCTTTTTTAATTAACACTTTAAATATGAAGTGAACAGACAAGTACATAGACAAAAAAGAATAAAAAACACATTTTTAAAAACGTCAATATAAATCACATCCAAAGTAAAAGAACTCTGTAAATACTGTGTGTACTAAGAAAGGTGAAACCAGAAGCTAACTCAAAATTACATTATGGTTTCAAGTACTGTACAACACCTTTGAAAAAGAGAAAAAAGAAGCAAACCACACTTAATATTCCTGTGTTTTCAATGCATTACTCTCATTCAACAGAACGCAATTCAATAAATTATTTTCTTGAAGACATTTTTATTCCATACTATTATTAGAACCACTTCAAGTTAAAGCTTAAAAAAACAACTCTGAAATATAATAATAGTGCAGACAGATGGTATCTCCTCAGTTTTTAGCTGCTGTTCAGGTGTTACTAAGATTTCACCTATTCAGGTGTCAAAGATCTCATTAAGATAGTTTTCTTACCTGTGGGAGGCACACTTCAAGTTTCCCACCCCAATAAAATCTGTTGCATTCCTTTTCTACTGTGCCTCCCCCTAGCCCAAAAGGGAACTGGCTCTTTCAGGAGCCAGTTCAAATAGCAAACAACTAACACTTGCCATTTGCAATTTCCTAAACTAGCATTACTTCTACTATTTCTGCTACCTTGCATGTGAAATTTAGTAGTGTCAATCTTCCAATTTAAAATTTCTCTTCTAACATAAAGAACACACCGCAACTCTCGCCTCCTCTCTATGATCATTACCAAGAGGACATTCAGCTGTAAGTATCTGGTTTTGACTGAAGATTTTATAGTTAAAAATGCATTCTATGGCTGTTTATGTGCACCATACCACTCGCTTTCCATGTTACGATACCATGAAAAAATTCATCATCTATAATAAATCTACATTTTAAGTTGTTTAATTTTACCAAACAGCAGATCTATGCTTTATATTACTAAAGCAGATCCAAAAGGTCTATATTGTTCATTGCAAAATAACTGTATGTATGTGCACACCTTTCATTCCAATTCATGCAGTGTGTCACATGGATTAAAGCATAAAACATTAGGAACCCATGCATTGGTCAAATAAGGTCCCTCCAGAGGTGGTGCAATCACCTACCCTGGAAATCTTCAAGAGACTAGACAGTCACTTTGCTGGGGTCACCTGACCCCCAGTTATCTTTCCTGTTTGGTGCAGGGGGCTGGACCTGATGATCTTCCAAGGTCCCTTCTGATCTTACAACCTAGGAGTCTATGAGTCAATAGTGATACTACTATTCTGGTACAATGTTCACCTATGCTTACATGCAGACTGTAGCCACACACTTCCCCAAATAATATCTTAAACAAGAAAATGAAGGATTTTCTAATGACACGTACAATATAATATTTAATCAAAAGCAAATCAAATTCTTTTGATTTGGCTATGACAAAGGCAAAAGAATCAAGCTCTTCAGCAATCCTGACTGAGCAATGCCTACTCCACAAAAGAAAAGGTAGCGCATACAAACCAACAGAAATCTCCATTCATATTGAGCTCCCCAAAGATTCTGGGATTTAAGGGCAATGGACAAATACTACCTTTGCTGGCCACAATACCACAGAATCCCTATTCCATGAGTTTTCCCATGGCGAGTATTGAGGAATGACCAAGCCTTAGCCCATACAACATATTCATGGGATCTTGCAACCCCAGCTGACTTCCTGCCCTTTGGGCGGGGGGCTGGACTCGATGATCTTCCAAAGTCCCTTCCAGCCCTAATGTCTATGAAATCTATGCTTCACGGTGTTACATCTCTGATACCTGAATGGCTATCATCTTCCTCCCATTTTCTTTTCACAAAGATACAGTGCCAACCCTTTTATGTGCATCTCAGCATGACTTTTTTTAAATTTATAGTGTCATGACTTAGTTACCTTTTGAAGAGTGATTAACTCCACCTGGGTACACCACGGCACATATGGAGCCAAATTGAATGCAGGATTTGGACATTATTGGCGAGTTCTATTAAAACATGCCTTTTGATTTTCTAAAATAAAATTTTAATCCAGAGCATGCTAAAGAACTATCCACATATATGTACCAAAACATCTCTTCTGTTACCTTATTCTGTTTATCAGCATTTTCCTTTTTGTAATTAGAACCACACTGTATTAACCCACTGAGGAAAATCTGCATAACTCTTCACATCTTAAAACTGTTACAGAATCATACAAGTCAGAATTTCCTAGTACAGTGATTCTTAGTCTTAATACCAACTCTTTTCCAGTAATTCAGTAAAACTGATAGTTACCTAAACACAAAACAAACAGCCATCTTAGTCTCCCGATAGAAACATGCCTTTTAAGTACTGCCTCCACAAAATTTCAATTTTGTGAAATGAAACAGTTCAAAGTATTAAGCAAGTAAAACCCAAAGAAAACTAAATACTTAAATCTTCAATTTTCCAGTAGCATATGAAGCAAGAACCATTTTTAACCACTTCTACCTTCCAAAAGACATTATGTGAAATGGTTCAAGTTACTCCCAGATTTAGCTGGGAAACTACAAAAACTAAAATCAAAGACAACAGAAGTCCCACATGCACAAAACACGTCAAACTAAAACACAAAGAAAAGTTAAAATAATTCCTCCACACCGACCTGAAGCTTTGCTTAGAAGCAGGTATAAACCCATCTGGGTGAAGAGGGCTAGAACCCAGGCTTGCCACTCCCTGGATAAGTCCCCCAACCAAGGGGTTAGGGGCTAAATAGTGTTGGGCTAAATAGTGGCAGGTCCCCATACCTACTCCTACTTCCAGCAGGCATGCACATAGTTAGAGATTGTTTCACCCTATAAATAAGTACCAAAAACTGCAGACATGCAGATAAATATGTGCCATTTAGGCACATAACGCAAAGTAGAATTTAGCCCTAAATGTCATAGCACAAATATCCAACAAGATAAGGCCCATGTAAGAGGTCTTCAAAACAGCCAGTCTATATTTTTAATGACTAAGGGTTAACAAGAGTAGTAAAGGCAGAAGGTGGGGCAGTGTGGTGCCTTATAGATACAGTGACCATACCTCCCAGTTTTGCCAGGACAGTCCTGGATTTTGAAAGCTGTCTTGGCTTCCCGGTTAGTTGATGAAAATTGAAACAAAAGTCCCACTTAACATGATCCCTTCTTTCTCTACTAAATCTACTGTGCATGTGTGTGGCAGCAGAGCTGGCCTTAGGGGAAAATGTCACCTTGGGTGAACTTGTATTTTGGTGCCTTCCACCTGCCCCCCCCAAATCAGCAGCACTGCTGCAGACAAGAGGCAGGTGTGTGGGGGCACAGTTCGGCAGAGAGGTAGGGCAGCAAGGTGCGCCAGGCAGCACTGCTGCTGTGCTGGTGCAAGGCAGGCAGACTGGAGCAGGCACAAGCCTGCGCACACGTGTCCAGACCGGCTCCTCCTGAGCAATGGCTAGAGATGTGGGGCGGACTGGGCTGGGCTGGACTGGACACCGCTCCAGGCCACCTGTCTTGCTCCCACACAACACAGCAGTGCCTCCCTGGCACACCACGCCACTCCATCTTCACTTGAAACGCAGTGTCCCAGATTTCGTTAAAAATAATATGGTCACCATACTTACAGACAAACTAGGCTGAGACCTACGAAAGCTCATGCCTCTCTGAATGAGTTAGGAATGTGGCACCTTACAGACCTGCCTTCTAACACAGACTAAACCAGCTAACTGCCTCTTTCTACTTCTCAGGAACAGTAAAGTAAATCTCTCATTTTGCAGGAGGCTAACAAAGAACGCTCTGTGAACGTAAAAGATTGTGATTGCTGAAACAAGTAAGACATCTAGTTGCTGCATTCAAAACCAGCTGCAAGCAATGAAAAAATGCTGCTGGAAACAGGCTAGGAGAAGGTTACAACACTTGACCTTTTCGAGAACAAAAATATTGTTTGTTAAGGAATCATCACAAAATATTCAATGGGACACTCTGAACACATCATAAAAGCCTTTCTTTAGTACCACCTTTGAAAAACTGTCTTCCACAGAAAAGATAAGTTCAAGGGAATAAGCGCTCACCATCCCTACAGGAGGCCAGTCAATACATGGCAAACCAAAAAATATATGAATAAATAAAAATAGTCTTCATGATGGGGAGTTTACAAGGATGCAAACTAGATAGTTCTGACATCTTTTTGAGAAATTCATTCAAGCATTCCCTCAGAGTAGAGACTAAATTTGCAGTCCATGGTGAAGGAGCTATTTAACTGTATCAGCAGTACAATATTTAAAAAAAAGTAGTGGAAAATCCACAACTTTACCAAGCGGCCCAACTGTATTTGATAGCAAGGTCACAAAAACTCGAAATAACCTACATATAATATTATTTGTAGATAGACGATATAGTTTATCCTCAGATTTCCATTCTCTAATTATTACTCATACCCGGCTACCCTTTGTTGCTAAATCAACAAGCACTCAACTGTATCATGAAGTCCAGAAGAACCAAAAGAGTTAAGTAAGCAGGAAATTACACAGGAGTGGAGTCACAACTCAGAAGGAACTCCGGAAGTATGACATCTCAAATAAGTTCTACTTGTGTTCATAAAAACCTTAGGTTATAAAACCACCACCCACTTAGTTTCTTCAAAAAGGAGAGATTTGAAAACAGTAGTTGCAACCAATTTATCAAATTATGTTTTCCCAACAATGATGCAAACAGTTTGTCAGAACCTTTAACTAGCTACCACTGGCATTGACAGTAGCTCTCAGCTAGCTTTAAAGCAAATTAGACAGACAGTGTAGAAACTTGAGGCCCAAAGCCACAATCTGTTCATGCTGGCAGAGCCCTTTACAAGTACAAATTCAATGCCCTACATAGATCAAATGAAAGATCAGAGCCCAAGCCCCACAAACTTCAAGGAAC